ACTTTATGTCTTTTCCTTTATGTAAGAGTCAAGGTGATCTTCACCTTTCCCTTTTTCATTTTATCCTTTTGGCAAGCACCTCATGTTGGAAAGATCCTGATACATATATCCAATTGGATGTTCGTTAGCATGAACTATTATTGTTGACATTACCCTTCAGGTAAAACGTTGGGAGGCAATACTATAAGCCCCTATCTTTCTCAGTATCCGATTAAAACTCCCTAACCATAAGTATTGCATGAGTGTTAGCAATTGTAGAAGACTATATGATAGTTGAGTATGTGGACTTGCTGAAAGGCTCTATTCTTGACTCTTTCTGATGTTATGATAAATTACAATTGCTTCAATGACTGAGGTTATAGTTTGTTAGTTTTCAATGAAGTTTCTGTACCATATTGACATTGTGAATAGATTGTTACTTGAGAATAAGAAATCATATGGCAAAAATCTATATATGTTGCTGTTATAAGAATGATCATGATACCCTCATGTCCGTATTTTTTTATCGACACCTCTATCTCTAAACATGTGGAATATTTCTCGCTATCGGCTTCCGCTTGAGGACAAGCGAGGTCTAAACTTGGGGGAGTTGATACGTCCATTTTGCATCATGCTTTTATATCAATATTTATTGCATTATGGGCTGTTATTACACGTTATGTCACAATACTTATGGCTATTCTCTCTTATTTTACTAGGTTTATCATGAAGAGGGAGAATGCCGGCAGCTGGGATTCTGGCTGGAAAAGAAGAAAATATTGGAAACCTATTTTGCACACCTCCAAAAGACCTGCAACTCCACGAAAGTCATTTTTGGATTTAATAATAATTATTGAGCAAAGAAAGTACCGGAGGAGGCCCACACACTGTCCAGGAGGGTGGGGGGCGCGCCCCCCCTACTGGGCGCGCCCCTTGTCTCCTGGGCCCCCTGGTGGCCCTCTGGTGCCCATGTTCTGCTACATGAGGTCTTTTACCCTGAAAAAAAAATCATAAGCAAGCTTACGGGACGAAACTCCGCCGCCACGAGGCGGAACCTTGGCGGAACCAATCTAGGGCTCCACGGAGCTGTTCTGCCAGGGAAACTTCCCTCCGGGAGGGGGAAATCGTCACCATCGTCATCACCAACGATCCTCTCATCGGGAGGGGGTCAATCTCCATAAACATCTTCACCAGCACCATCTCCTCTCAAACCCTAGTTCATCTCGTGTATCCAATCTTGTATCCAAAACCACAAATTGGTACCTGTGGGTTGCTAGTAGTGTTGATTACTCCTTGTAATTGATGCTAATTGGTTTACTTGGTGGAAGATCATATGTTCAGATCCTTAATGCATATTAATACTCCTCTGATTATGAACATGAATATGCTTTGTGAGTCGTTACGTTTGTTCCTGAGGACATGGGTGAAGTCTTGCTATTAGTAGTTATGTGAATTTGGTATTCGTTCGATATTTTGATGAGATGTATGTTGTCTCTCCTATAGTGGTGTTATGTGAACGTCAAATACATGACACATCACCATTATTTGGGCCTAGAAGAAGGCATTGGGAAGTAATAAGTAGATGATGGGTTGCTAGAGTGACAGAAGCTTAAACCCTAGTTTATGTGTTGCTTCATAAGGGGCTGATTTGGATCCACTAGTTTCATGCTATGGTTAGGTTTACCTTAATACTTCTTTTGTAGTTGCGGATGCTTGCAATAGGGGTTAATCATAAGTGGGATGCTTGTCCAAGAAAGGGCAATACCCCAGCACCGGTCCACCCACATATCAATATATCAAAGTAACGAACGCGAATCATATGAGCGTGATGAAACTAGCTTGACGATAATTCCCATGTGTCCTCGGGAGCGCTTTTCTCATTATACGAAATTGTCCAGGCTTGTCCTTTGCTACAAAAAGGATTGGGCCACCTTGCTGCACCTTATTTACTTCCATTTCTTGTTACCCATTACCAATTATCTTATCACAAAACTATATGTTACCTATAATTTCAGTGCTTGCAGAGAATACCTTACTGAAAACTGCTTGTCATTTCCTTCTACTCCTTGTTGGGTTCGACACTCTTACTTATCGAAAGGACTATGATAGATCCCCTATACTTGTGGGTCATCACCAACATATTATCGATCGGGTTTGAGTAATGACCAGCGAATGTTTGAAAACACCAGGGCTGATATTGGACCACCAACTGTTGATGAGCCGACGGCTGTATCTGGGTAGCATTTGGATGGACGTTCTGAGTCAATTGGGGTGTAACAGGTCCTACACCCGGTGCGCCAGGGTCAGCTCCCTGTATTGCTGGAGTGGGCAAGTCACGCAGTGTCTCGAACAACCGTGTCGGCTCCATACTCACCGGAAGTTGGCTTTGAAATCTCCTCCAGTGTACCGTAGACGTCTCGTTCTGTTGAAAACTGAGGAACCGGTTTCGCCTCCAGACGTTTAGCCTCCTGAAGGACTTCAGCATGTGCCCATATGTGTGTTCTCTCCATTGATATCCTCCTAAATCTTGGCCAGCTTCTCCCGACACTTTGCAATCTCCGCGCTGCACGCGTCCGCATTCTCGGGGGTCACTGGATCAGTGATGAGCGTGCCCAGAGTTCTCATCATCTCGGTTAAAGCCTGAGCCCCTGACCGATCAGAGTCGGCAGCTGCCAGCGCTCCAGTCGCGGTCATTGCCGCATTGGTCGGTTGACCCGGTGTGGTGTCTGCCGGGTTTTGGTGAGCTAACGGGTTCACGACTAGACGTCCCTGTGCATCATACTGAGACTGGTTTTGACTCCCAGACATGTAGATCGCCATGTGATGAACCGGATCGTAATATGTGGGTACATCTCATCAGCAGAGTAACCTCTCAACCTCTCGTAGAAGAGCGGAAGAATCGACTCGGTATCTCCGACCGAAGACTCGCCATAAGAGCAGACAAGCGTGTTACCATTAGACACTGAATTGGTGGTCGGGTTAATTTCCTGCGTGACTTCGCCAACGAGCTGACGAAAGCATGAATCCGACCGGGTCTCACCTGGACAGGTTTGGTACGGCAAGCAGACTCGACGAGGTTAGTGACGACGTTCGGCTCCGAGTCAGGCTAGCCGATTATGCCGATGAAGATGTCGATCTTGCCGAAGGGGGCCCGATATCCATACTCGATTGAGTCTCGCCTCGGGACCCCAACCGTAGTTGTTGATGTAAAGATTCCAACATCGACTCTTTGTTATCCGGCTGATCGTGTATCAATCGATCCCTGGAAGAGCTCCCTCCAAGAACTCAATACCACCGTGCGCAGGCCCCATAGTGGGCGCCAATTATCGCGGTTTTGTCACGACAGATGTCCTCGTGAAAAGACTAAGTGTTGAGGCCATGGCAACTAGGTGGTGACTTGAACGGGGTTGATCGAAAGAGGGCGACTCAAATTTATCCAGGTTCGGCCCCTCATGGTGGAGGTAAAGACCTACTCCTGCTTGATTGATTTGATTGTGGTGATCACGATTACAAAGGCTTGCTTTCATTGCCTCGCTTTCGAGAGGTTCTACAGAAGAGTCTGGGTCGTACTCTCTAACCTGTCTCCTACTCTGAATCGTGATGATCTTCCTCTCCAAGTTGGTAAAGCCTTTCTCCCGTGCCTCCTCATGAACCGGCCTGCAAGACCTACGTGAGAGTCAGTAGCCATGGGTCGGGTCTCTTTCGGGCCCTTAGTCCTTCCTTTAACTTAGTTCCTTTTGTGGCCCGGAAGTAGTGCGACTCACAGAGCATGCTTAGAACTACCAAGCTTGAGGCCGGGGTCTCATTACACCGTGTCTCGCACGCAGGGAACATCCCCAACACACAGGAGACTTTCGGAGCCACGGCCCCGACTTTCACACTGGCACTGAGGTTATGCACTCGTCTAGCCGCCAATGAAGCTAGCAAATCCACATGAGTCGCCATCAACTTATGAAAGACCGGACCTTCAAGGCGTCGCTCCCAATGAGGAAACGACAGGGACCGCCATCAACATCGACCAAGGCCAAAGCTTGGGTTTTCATCCGGCAAACCCGAGACCGAGATGACAAGGGAGGTGAAGGGGCTCCACGACGAAACCTCCAAAACCCCAAAGTTGCGCACCAGCCAAGTCGACGACACCGCCACCTAGATGACAAGAGATGACTACCTACCACCCAACATGGTTTTCGGAGCCTCCGCTCCGACATCCACAACGCCCCAAGGGCCATGCACCAGCCTACTCGATGGTCCAACACCCTTGCGCAGAGGCAAATTCAAAGCAGCAAAGCGCCAAATGCCACACAAAATGCGCGAGATATAACGGTAAAAGAATACCCCAATGGGGTGAATAGTCCGACTCTCACGACACAGGGAATCACTCAAGCTCCGATTTTCTTAATGGATTGTCAGTATAGTACTCCAGTCCGCCGTAAACAAGCGAGAACTGTCATTACTTGGCATTTAGCAAACGAGACGCGGACATCAAGCCTCCCGATCCCGGCAACCATATGATAACGCAATCAGCCAAAATTTGAACCTATCCATAATAAACTGAGAGCCGATCTCGCACGCAACGCAATTGGGTGTGGTCTTCAAGAAAAGAAGGAAAATTAAGCTGCATCTGGCAACTGGCATGACGCCTTTGGCGCTATCCCCTCAACCGGCCCCGCTCAGCAGCCTCACCTATCTATCTTCTATCCACTACGCTACAATGACGACTGTCTATGATGCGGGTGCGATCGCCAAGCAAGCCAAGTGTTTGACGAAATTCGTCGCCATGTACACCCCCTGCATCCAGCTTGAAGCTTTTGCTCTATCCTCTCATTTTCTTTTCTTTTTTCTTGAGAGGGAAAAAAAATAATCCTCTCATCTTCTCAGCCGGCCCCGCTCATCAGCCTCAGCAGTCAGCAGTTCACCCGGGATCAGCACCCTCCGTGCCGTCGCTGTTACTGACGACTGAACCTATATGATGGAGCGCGCCCACCAACTGTTCGACCAAATTCCTCGCCCCAGAGCGCGCCATGGCTCCCCCCTTCCCCCTCATACTCCTCCTCCTCGTCGCCGTCGCCGGGGCAGGCGCCGACGCCGCCGCGCCGCCGAATGGGCACGCGTGCGCGTCGGCTGAGGCCAACTCCTACGCGTTCTGCGACGCCTCGCTGCCGTTCCCCGTCCGCGCGCGCGCCCTCGTCTCCCTCCTCACCCTCGACGAGAAGATAGCGCAGCTCTCCAACACCGCGGCGGGCGTGCCCCGCCTCGGCGTCCCGCCCTACGAGTGGTGGTCCGAGTCGCTCCACGGGCTCGCCGACAACGGCCCGGGCGTCAACTTCTCCTCGGGCCCCGTCGCCGCGGCGACCATCTTCCCGCAGGTCATCCTCTCCGCCGCCGCCTTCAACCGCTCGCTCTGGCGGGCGGTGGCCGAGGCCGTCGCCGTGGAGGCGCGCGCCATGCACAACGCCGGCCAGGCCGGGCTCACCTACTGGGCGCCCAACATCAACGTCTTCCGCGACCCGCGCTGGGGCCGCGGCCAGGAGACGCCCGGCGAGGACCCGGCCATGATCGCCGCCTACTCCGTCGAGTATGTCAAGGGCTTCCAGGGGGAGTATGGCGACGGCAGGGAAGGCAGGATGATGCTCTCCGCCTGCTGCAAGCACTACATCGCCTATGATTTGGAGAAATGGGGCAAGTTTGCGCGCTACACCTTCAATGCCGAGGTGAAACGTTTGCTCCTATCAATGTTTTCGACTGTCTTTTATATTACCAAAGCTCATTTTCGGTTATTGCACTATATTAACCAATGCTGATTTTTCGGGAACTTGACATCACACTAGCACACTACCGTACCAGTTCAGTCTATGAACAGAAAAACAAATTCTCCATACAGTTTTTTTTTAGAGGATCGCGTACAGATTCTTTGGTACACTAAAAAACCTCCAGAGTGGGTGTATCATGTATCAGTGATGCTGAGAATCAAAATATCTGTGCCAAATGTGTGCAACGTGAAATCACAGAGTCGCTTCTTTGAACAATATGTTCAATCAAAGAACAGAAATATTAGCTTGGAATCTGGTGAAGAATTCTTTTAAATTTCTATTGGAATTTTAAATTTTGCATCAATTGTTGATAGGTAAATGCGCAAGATTTCGAGGACACGTACGAGCCTCCTTTCAAGAGCTGCATACAGGAGGGTCGTGCAAGTTGCTTGATGTGCTCATACAACCAGGTAAATGGTGTGCCAGCATGTGCCCATAAAGATCTGCTGCAGAAGATTAGAGATGAATGGGGATTTAAAGGGTACTGCTTGCTCTTCTTTGAGTTGTTCTCTACTGCATGTGCCTTGAACTATTAGATATTCAGGAATGACACTAATCTCATAATATCGGTGCTTCCTTTTTGTCCAAAGGTACATCGTATCTGATTGTGACGCTGTGGCAATAATCCACGAAAACCAGACATACACGAGTTCAGACGAGGATTCAGTAGCGATTGTTCTTAAGGCTGGTTAGTTTCCTGAAACCCTCTCTCTTTCGCTGAGCATCGCATATGGGATTTTATTAGCATGTTGCTGTCTTTCTAGACTAGGACTTGCACTTCTCAGCTCAATAACGCTATAAAAAGCAAATGTGAACTCCATTTCATGGTTTCTACTTTCTGCTTTCAGCGTGACTGCTTAAAATATGAACTTATACACCTTGCCGGAATTAGAATGATTAAGGTTGAACATCTTCTCGAAATAGATTTCTTTGACCACCTTCTATATATCATTCAACCAAGCAGAATTTCTTGCTGAATATGTTTCCTGTTTTTCAAGGAATGGATGTCAACTGTGGGTCTTTCCTGATTCGGCATACAAAGTCGGCTATCGAGAAAGGAAAGATACAAGAAGAAGATATCAACCATGCTCTTTATAACCTGTTTTCTGTTCAGCTTCGCCTTGGACTTTTTGAGAAAACCAGTGAGAATCAATGGTTCACTCGACTAGGCCCCAGCAATGTTTGCACAAAAGAGCACAGGGAGCTCGCAGCAGAAGCTGTAAGGCAGGGAACCGTCTTGTTGAAGAACGATAACAGTTTTTTGCCTCTAAAGAGAAGTGAAGTTAGTCATATTGCTATAATTGGAGCGGCAGCAAACGATGCATACATAATGGGTGGAGATTACACAGGTCTAAATCACCGGACTCATTTAAACACCTCTTATTTTTCTATCCTACATAAACTAATGTAAGCCTCACTTTGTTCAGGTGTTCCCTGTGATCCTATCACCTTCCTTAAAGGCATGCAAGCCTTTGTTCCGCAAACAACCGTTGCTGGCGGTTGCAAAAATGTATCATGTGACTCAACGGATGGATTTGGTGAAGCCATTGAAGTAGCTAAAAGAGCTGATATTGTTGTTGTGATTGCTGGGTTGAACCTGACTCAGGAGACCGAAGATCTTGATAGAGTGACCCTTCTCCTTCCAGGCAAGCAGCAGGATCTCGTAAATATTATTGCCAGTGTAACAAAGAAGCCTATTGTGTTGGTTATCACGGGCGGGGGTCCCGTCGATGTTTCTTTTGCGAAGCAAGATCCAAGAATTGCAAGTGTCCTGTGGATTGGATATCCTGGGGAAGTTGGCGGACAGGTTCTCCCAGAAATTCTTTTTGGAGAGTACAATCCAGGTGAGTAAATAATTTGCAGTTTAATGCGGCAGTCAGATAAGTAAAAAAAGTTGTACTGTTAGCTAATCTGGTACACTCTGATGACAGGAGGAAAGTTGACTATGACTTGGTACCCCGAATCCTTCACCGCGGTTCCAATGACCGATATGAACATGAGAGCCGACCCTTCGCGTGGCTACCCTGGAAGAACATATCGGTTCTACACCGGAGATGTGGTATACGGTTTCGGTTACGGTCTGAGTTACACAAAGTACTCATACAACTTCTTGCAAGGTCCAAACAGAATCAGCCTGTCACATTCACCAGTTCCAGGCCTCATCAGTAGGAAGCCTGCATACACACGGAGGGACGGGCTGGACTACGTCCAGGTTGAAGACATCGCGTCATGTGAATCCCTAGTCTTCTCTGTCCACATCTCGGTCACCAACGAAGGTGCCATGGACGGGAGCCACGCCGTCCTGCTGTTCACGAGATCGAAGTCAAGGGTTCCTGGCTTCCCTCTGAAGCAGCTGGTTGGTTTCGAGCGCGTCTACACTGCTGCCGGCAGATCAACCAACGTGGAGATCAAGGTGGATCCCTGCAAGCACATGAGCGCGGCCAACACTGAAGGCAGAAGGGTGCTGCTCCTGGGATCCCATCATGTCATGGTAGGAGACGAAGTGCACGAGTTTGTCATCGAAGCATAACAATCTACATCGTGTGTCACTTCTATAGCTGCTGTATTTGGCACAGTCGGATTTACACCTGTACAATTGTACCATAATCATGTTGTAAAGATTCATTGGATGCATGTACGGTTGAACCGATTTTGCAGTAAAAAAATAGAAGCAGTAAATTTGACGCAGTTCTAGTTCTATTTTTGTTAGTTGAACACTGTTCTTTTTTTTCGAGTGCACGCAAATCGCGTACCATATTTTTAGGCAGAGAGAAATTTGCAGGAAGTGCTGTAAGCCCAACAAGTAGGGCTACCGGCTAGGATCCACACACCCACCCTTAGATACATGCTACTCTCTCATAAAGATTTGAAAACACCTAGCTCAGGCCGATCTTCAAGTTTGTATCTCATCAAGAATGAGGTTAACAAATTGGGGGATAGTCCGTTGCTGGGCCACATTCTTGGACACCCGCACATTTCTTTGCTTCCACGAGCTCCAAGCAATGAGAATGACTAGCGAATCAAAGCTCTTTCTGCGCATTTCTTTGCTTCCACGAGCTCCAAGCAATGAGAATGACTAGCGAATCAAAGCTCTTTCTGCTTGTCTTCGGCACCTCCTTGCTCGATCTTAGCTACCACTCCTCCAGGATGTCCTCTATGGAAGGGATGGCGATATGAACAACCAGTGAAGTGAAACATGCGTGGCATGCCTGTCTAGCGTAAACACACTGCATAAAGACGTGGTCAAGAGTGTCCTCTTCCTGGCAACAAGTGAAGCACAGGGCAGTGCCGTCTTGTAATCCATGTCGGAATCGTCTATCAGAGGTTCAGACACGATACTGGAGAGCAAGCCATACTAGTAGAGTGCCCGTGCATTGCCACGGGCCTTAAAAAATGAGAACATTCCTTTTCGTTGATACTATTACCAATATTCGATATTGGGTTATTCATACCTTCCTATTAATTGTAGGTTGGTTGTTACATGTTGCATATCAAATTTCACACATATAGAAAAGATAGCCAATAACATACAAAAAAAATTAAATCCGCTTCACTTGCAATATATTTCGGTAACATACATTATCAGATCTAATGCACAAAATAAAGAAAGTAGTACAAAAACATAAAGCTCTTTATTGTGCATTGCATTACAAAAGAAAGATGGCACATGGATGCCTTTTTATGCTTAAGACCAATCATCTCATGAAAGCATGTCTATTGTTATTATCCATTAAATACAAATAACACATGTAGGATCTTGTTCCCTTATTCCAAGATGCTACAACCAGACACTTGATTGCATTATGCAATTCCCTGACAAACTATTACACATAAAATTAGGCACTTGAAACCATACAGGTTACTGTATCATTTAGGAACTACTGCAGCATAACACATACCTCCTACTATTTAAGAACCATGGCAACACAAAATAGTTCAACCCTTTCCCATATATATTCATGAGATCTGCAACAAGGAGACGACGGAATGTCCGTGGATGTAGGAGAGTTTCCAGGAGAGTGACGCCTCATCATTGGAGGCCGTAAATGGCAGTGAGTAGGGGCTCGAGCGTGGTTGGTGGCCCCGAGGGCCTGGTCGGTGCAGAGCATAGTGACCGAGACGGCCAAGGGGAGGTACAAATATGATCTAAGAAACATGTACAGGGACCGCGAATAAGAAAATTGATGGTTATATGAAACATCTAAAACCAAATATGGTATAAGAAAGTGACACTTGTGCATGTGTCTAATAAAAAAGTCGATAGGAAAGATAACCTCTATTGACTGAAATGTTGCGAGTTCCACTCCTTTGTCTCAATAGCATCCGACACTCAGTGCAGCACATCCCCTTTGTCATAGATCAATAGAAGGTAAAAATGGAGCCACATTTATGTAGGCTTACTCCTATTATAGTTTTCATACTAAAAAACTAAGACTACACATGGCTTGATAATGAGATTCCTTTGCATCATCGCGTCCTCTGAAATATGGTAGCAACAAATACGAAATATGCTAATATGTTAGTTTTGGCACAACTGAAAATTCAGTGCATATACCTACACTTGCTATCATGGTCTCACTTCATCTTGATAGAGTACCAATCAAGCAGCACCAAGTTTAGCAAAACCAACAAACTTCAGTCCTTATCTGTTGGATATCTTTTAGCAATAATAGTAAGGAAAGCATATGAACAAATCTCGGCATTTCTGACTTAAAATTAACAGATATACACCCACTTAAAAACAAATTAATCGATAATTGCTGGCAGCATTCACTTCTCTTGCAACCATAAGAATCAATGCTATACATCATCAAGATAAAAGAAAACTCAAGGCCCAGTGCTCAACCGACAAGGTTTGCTTGGAGCTAAACATCCAAATGCACAACTATCAAGCATACTGAAAGTGCTAGTTATCGACTAGAGGGGGGGGGGGGTGAATACGCAATTTTTATGGAAGACTTTGAAGCAGACAATGTCTTCAAAGTCACACAGTTGAAACAAAGCCTAAACAGAATATAACGGAAGATAACTACACTAGCCGTGCAATAGTCAAGGTACGGTATAGAGAAAGCATGAATACAGGTAGCAGTTAGGTAGAACAGATCATAATAGGAAGGCAATATGAAGCCAAATGTGCAATCAGAGTGAATGTCTTCACATAATGTATTCAACCAGAGAAGGCAAGCAATGAATTCACAAAGCTAAACAATAAGTAAGGGGTGAAGTGATAGAACCAGTTGCTCGATGAAGACAAGGATTTGGTAGACCAGTTCCAGTTGATGTGACAATTGTACGTCCGATTAGGGAGGTTGAGATTGAACTCAGAAGACCACGTCTTCACCTTATTCCCCTTGAGCTAAGGTCACTTAGTCCTCGCCCAATCACTAAGGTAAGTCTTCAAGGTAGACTTCCAAACCTTCACAAACTTTGTTCACCGGCAATCCACAATGACCCTTGGATGCTCAGAATGCGACGCCTAACCGACTAGAAGATCACAGTCCTCAAGTGTAGTAATAAGTCTTCGGGTCACGCGGAATAGAAAGGCTTCGGTGATGCCAAACACTCTTTGGGCTTTGGGTGTTTTGGGTTTTGTCCTTGCAAGGATTCTCTCTCAAAGGCTTTGGAGGTGGGTTGCTCTCAAGTGACAAAATCCGTACTCTTAACTCGGAGCAGCCACCAACTTATGGTGGAAGGGGGTGGCTATTTATAGCCAGGGCAACCCGACATGATTTGTCTGAAATGACCCTTGGCCATTGGGGAACCGACATGTGTCCAGCGGTCGAATTTCAAACACGTGCGAGGGCTTGACTTGGGCAACAAGCAAAGCTGACTCATCCAACACAGGATAAGGTTTCCTCTCATTTGTCTTCGCTCGATGACATAGGATTTGGGTTGAGCATCAGTTTTCTGACTTTGTTCACCTAGACCCAACTTAACAGTTCAGAGGTTCCTATGACTCAAGAAAGAAGAAAATGAGACTACGAAAGAAACTATATCTTCGCGCTCCATTATCTTCAAACGAATGTCTTCGAGAACCACCAATGTATTCATACATTTTTAGGGGTCATCTTTGATGAGTAAACTGAATCGACAGGGACTTCTACATGTGTTTGTTGGGGAACGTTGCATAAAATAAAAATTTTCCTACGTTCACCAAGATCAATCTATGAGTTCATCTAGCAACGAGATAGAGGAGTGCATCTACATACCCTTGTAGATCGCAAGCGGAAGCGTTCAAGAGAACGGGGTTGAGGCAGTCGTACTCGTCGTGATCCAAATCACCGGAGATCCTAGCGACGAACGGACGACACCTCTGCATTCAACACACGTATGGTCAGCGTGACGTCTCCTCCTTCTTGATCCAGCAAGGGGGAAGGAGAGGTTGATGAAGATCCAGCAACACGACGGAGTGGTGGTGGATGCAGCAGGGTTCCGGTAGGGCTTCGCCAAGCGCTTGCGGGAGGGAGAGGTGTAGCAAGGGGGGAAGGGAGGCGCCAGGTGTTAGGGTATGGCTGCCCTCCCACCCCCCTCTTTATATAGGGACCCCGGGGGGGGCACCGGCCCTAGGAGATGGGATCTCCTAGGGCGGCGGCGGCCAAGGGGGGAAACTTGCCCCCCAAGGCAAGTGGAGGCGCCCCCTCCCCTAGGGTTCCCAACCCTAGGCGTAGAGGGGGCCCCAGGGGGGGCGCACCAGCCAACCAGGGGCTGGTTCACCTCCCACTTCAGCCCATGGGGCCCTCTAGGATGGGTGGCCCCACCCGATGGACCCCCGGGACCCTTCTGGTGGTCCCGGTACAATACCGGTGACCCCCGAAACTTTCCCGATGGCCGAAACTCGACTTCCCATATATAATTCTTTACCTCCGGACCATTCCGGAACTCCTCGTGACGTCCGGGATCTCATCCGGTACTCCGAACAACTTTCGGTTTGCTGCATACTCATATCTCTATAACCCTAGCGTCACCGAACCTTAAGTGTGTAGACCCCATGGGTTCGGGAGACACGTAGACATGACCGAGACGGCTCTCCGGTCAATAACCAACAGCGGGATCTGGATACCCATGTTGGCTCCCACATGCTCCTCGATGATCTCATCGGATGAACCATGATGTCGAGGATTAAAGCAACCCCGTATACAATTCCCTTTGTCAATTGGTACGTTACTTGCCCGAGATTCGATCGTCGGTATCCCAATACCTCGTTCAATCTCGTTACCGGCAAGTCACTTTACTCGTACCGTAGTGCATGATCCCGTGACCAGAAACTTGGTCACTTTGAGCTCATTATGATGATGCATTACCGAGTGGGCCCAGAGATACCTCTCCATCATACGGAGTGACAAATCCGAGTCTTGATCCGTGTCAACCCAACAGACACTTTCGGAGATACCTGTAGTATACCTTTATAGTCACCCAGTTACATTGTGACGTTTGGTACACCCAAAGAACTCCTACGGTATCCAGGAGTTACACGATCTCATGGTCTAAGGAAAGGATACTTGACATTGGAAAAGCTCTAGCAAACGAACT